CGCTTACCTGGCCGGTAAGAATCTTTTTTTTTATTTACTGGGTAAGACTATCGGTCATTTGGTCATCGCCATATTCATCCGGTAACGTAATATAAAATATGCTTAACTAGTGATTTAAATATGTATTATATGTTAAAACATGTTTTATGTGTTAATTGTGTAAAAAGAGAATTTGCTAAAATGCAGTGTACTAGTGAGCTATAAGTAGAACCCATAGTTAGAATGAGATGTAGGAGGTAAGTTTGGTGCTAACACCTCACAAATGACATAATTAGATGATATAAGGGTTCAAAATACATGAACCCAAAGTACATTGCATAAATGAAAATCGGGTAGGCAACTAAAGTGCCTAAATGGGAAAAATCTACTCAAAATTTGAACGGATGATATAAATGAAGATGTAAAGGTTGGAACACCTTTGAATAAGTTAATATGAGATGTTAGAAGTGGCGGAAGTAGAAAATTCGTGTGAATTGCATTTTATGCAAGTTTTATAAATTAAGTTGCTATTTCAGTAAATTACGCGCACAACATTCAGATGGGAGGTGTTTGATGGTATGGTAAGCTTTTGAACTAAGTTTTGGACCTATTAGGAGTTGTTGGAGGTGTCGGAATTTTTTTACGGGATTCCGAGCTCAAAATCAAAAACGATAAAATTGCAAAGGAAAACATAACACCTACAAATATGTAAAGTTTCTTTTATTAGAAGATATTTTCTAGAATATTTTTATTGGAAGTTATAGATTATCTTGTTACGAACGCGTAGCCGAAAACCTCATCGAAACTGAGGTCAGAACGAAAAGTTATGAATTTTTTGTATTAGGTGGTCAAAATAGGTGATGCCGTGATGGGTCCACCCGACCCAAAACGTATTTAATTCGGAAAAAAACCCGATTTTGGCCCCATTTTCACCCCATTTCACTTTTGGGATTAATGAGGTGCGATTTCACACATATAGGAAGGATTTAACCACTAGTACAAAAATGGCTTTTTTTTTACGGCTTTGAAGAAATAGGTTTGTAACGATTTGATATAAAACCGTTGCAAAAAAAAAGTTAACGTCATTCTTGGTGAATCAAACAAGAAATTGAAGGTATAAAGATTGTAACTTTGTCTAGTTCATGTATTGGATCATTTGATGGAGATTAGGGTTTGATGCGAAATTGATAATATCTTAGTATTTGGGGTAGATTAGAATATATATTTTGTTATTTAGTAAAATGATGGATAAAGTTACAAGAATTAGTTGAAATTATTGGATAAAATATGAATATTTGACTTTTCGAAGTCAAAGTAGTCACAGTGATGATTTTGATGGAAATAGCTTAGATTCTGAAGTTTTTATAAAGATTATGCTATTTTATGATAAACATTTGGATTTGATTCAATATGGTATAAAATTGAGCATGAAATGGTATCAATGGCTGTTTTGGAACTTGAAAGTCAATGTTTTATCCAGTTTTAGAAAAATTGTATACAATCATTGAAAAATCGTATAAGAGTGAGTCTAGTGGTATTTGAATGTATGAATGTTTAGCTTATTTTATATAGATATATCATAATCTAATTACAACGTTAAGATGGATAAAAAATGCACTTTGTACAGTGTTGTCAAACTAAATTTTGACAGCTTGTAGCTGCTGTGTTGCAAAATTTGTATAAAATCAAGAAAAAATCCTGTACATATGAGATCAGTTCCATTTGAAAGGTAATTAAATCTAATTTTAGTCATCTTTATAAGTCATTGAGTAATTTTGAGGTTAAGTGAGGTAAAACATGGCTAGAACATAATGCTGTAATAGGAAAATTAAAGTATGAAAGTTAACCAGTCATGGGGCTAAATTGAGGTATATGCATCCAATGCTCATGAAACTTAATGTACATACTCCAGGGGATATTTGGAGATTGTTTGGTGCTTCTGGTAGGTATCTTAGTGTGCAAATATGAGGTTGGGACGTAACCTCCATTATAGCTTTCGTTTGGTAATGGTAAAAGCTCACTGAGTTAAATGTTTATTCAAATTATATTGTATTATGTGTGTATATATGTATATCTTATATGTATACATGATTTGGATGTCCTCTAAACTTGTTGTTTTTGTCTTTGGTCAATCATATACGTTGGTCTTCAAATTGAGATTCCTCCGAACTGTCATTCGATTTCGGATCTGAATTATGTTGGTTTTGTTTCTTTGGTTTCTTTGTTATGCTGGGAATATGGGTACTACTTTGTGTGGTACTCGTTGTCCAATGGTTCAGAGGGGTATGAGTACGGGACTCGGGTATTATTCGTGTGTTGTACTCATTGTCCTTGGTATTCTATTTGGTTATGCATAGGGGCTTGGGCATACCCGGATGATGATTATGGTCCCTGCTAGTCCTATGCATTATGTTTGATCGATGTATCATGGATATATGATATGTTGATATATTTGTTATGATTGATTTCTATGGAACTCTTGCGAGGGGTGATTATGTATGCTATGACTACTGTTTTGGAACGTGTTTATGGTATGGCATCGTTCATAAGATTGGATTCTCATAAATTGATCATTGGAATCTTATTGTTGATTTATTACGATATGTCTTGGTATGTGTACGGACGAATGGTTTCTCTTATTGAGTATGTCTTTGGTTCGTTTTCTTATCGTGTGTGTGTGTGTGTATATATATATATATATAATGCTAATATTCTTTGTTTAGTTCATTTAATTCACTAAGCCCCGAATTCTCCAACATATTTCTT